TGAGATCCCAAAGGTCTATACAATAATTATAATGCTCATATTATCTTGATGCCAGTTAATTGGATCTGTTAATAAATTTATATTTATATATTTAAGAACAATAATATTCATTATATTGTATGTCGATTCCTATTCATTTAAAGTTATACGCAATAATAATCACTGTATACAATACAAGCAAAATTTGAAATTATTTTTAATTCATATTTCCTTTTTATTGCAGGTTTTTTTGTACTTTATTATAAACAAACTGCCACAAATATGGTATTAAGTTAACTGCTGTTGGTTGTTCTATTAAATCAGGGTAAATAGTATTTCATTTCGATAAATTAGCAGATACGCTTTGCCGTCAACAATAAAACTAAAGAACTCTAAAACCTCTTAAAATAATGTACTACACGAAGAAGTAAAAGTGCGAAGTGAACATTCATTGTGCTACAACAAAAGCTGTTCATAACTCTCAGAGAGAATAACATTAGCTTTCCGTTCTATACCATTAACTTTGGAAAGTGTGTCTCACAACGGTCCTATATCGGATAATTTCCCATCTTCAATTCTGTTAGTTCATGATTATATGTAATACGTTACTGCACAACATCCTGTGTACTTAAAATTGGTATTTAGCAGACCTACCTCATTAAAACTGTCTACAATAATCATAAAACGCGAATCCTACGTCTGCTCTGAATGTATTTATATGCTTAATTATTCTACTATACGCGCAGATCACACTGCGGGCGATACCGGCTTATAAATTGTTTGACGCTCAGAATATATCTGAATGTATACATTCGGATATATCCTGAAAAATCAGTAAGTAAAAGTGGGTAGACTGATAATAATATCAGTCTACTTACGTTTACTTACTGACATCAGATCGAGAGTTGGTTGGTATTAGTTCTAATTTACTGTGTCTACCTCGTAGCGTCATAATTTGTACAGATCAGGCCATTAAATGTTATAGAATTTGATCGAATCCATTGTGAATAGGAATCCATTTGACGACCTACATTTCTGCGAGCCCGTGTTGCCCCGGGCAATGCATTTGATATTATTGCGATTATGCTCGTAATTTTCATTGTTGCGTTCTTTGTTACAAGGAACACTTTCATCTTGGCGTTGCTATTGAACGCAGTGAAGCGAAAATTAATTTTAGAATGCTTTTGGCTTACACAAATCTAATATATATTTCTCTTACGACCCATTCTTTTTTAAATTCTTTTAAATAATTTCCGACATGACCAAATATCGCGGGGTAAACCATAAAATCATTTCTCATATTCAATTTTGTTACTTCATAATTATCTGTGGTTCTTGTCCAGAACAACGTTTACCTAAAATTGGTACGTATATCGACTGATTCGATTAAAACTGTAACTAAAATAGCAATAAAAAGGATTTCGCCTTTCACACGCAAAGTCACCTATTTTTGAGAGCTATTTATGAGAGCTTCTTAGCAGACCTTACTTTTACCTACTAGTAATTTTATAAGCATTACTAAGTAGATATTATAATTTCATTTAATATTAAATATAAATAATTCGTTATATTCTACTTAATTTTTCATCATCCAGCCATCTCCATTTCCTGTTTTTTTGCCAACACACCTTGCCTCTATCAAGCTCCCGAAACAGGACGACATTATTGTCGCAAAACGTTTTTATTCAATTTTATGACTTTTTATACAAAAAGGTAGCAAACCAGCTAGTGAACCTGACTAACTGATTGCCGCCACCATGGACATCTAAAATACCTACGAGGATATAGATGCATGCAATTGAATGACTCCGTGGCGCAGTTGCCAAGGTATTGGCTTCGGCGTCGGGGGTCGTGGGTTCGATTCCCACACGGAACAACTATTTGTGCGGCCCACAGATAGTTGTTTCGCATCTGGGTGTTTGCCCTCGTTCAATTCATGTTTGTAAAACGTCCTTACAACACAGGATAATGTTGTCCTAAAGTGAGGGCAATGTTTTTAAAAAAAGAAAGAAAAGACAATCATTAGAAAAAATGACTGCCTCGGTTACCACACGAAACGCAGAACTATGATACTTCAACTTCACGTCAGTTTTCTGTGAGTCCATGGTGAAGCTGCTGCGAGGCCTCACCACTGTAAGAAGTGAACATCATTACAGTGAAATGGACAGTCTGTTTTTGAATATTTGACTCATATTGGGTACATCAAGATCTAAGGATCCTTAAATCTTCATGTACTTGATGTACTGGGAAAAGCGAAAACGGAAAATAGCTTTGAACACAACTTATTTACTTTGTCATTACAGCTTTTAATAATACTGTCTCAATCTTGACTATCCAACGAAATATTAGGCTACAAACTTGTATCCCTAACAAGATCCACGGATCTCATCGCATAATGTATTTACCGTGCTTTTTCCCTTCGGATAAAATAAGCCACGCCATAATGTATGAGAACGGTATCCCCGGTACCGAATAAGGAAAATTTCGTTGCGTATAACATACACGTCAGAGTGGTAATGAAATTGGTTTTTTTGCAGTGACCATTACAATTATTAAATTTACAAAAAAGAAAATATTAATTTATGTCAAAATTCACAGTATATATTTTATTTATCTGCCCTTCTTTCGCATTCAATTAGTAACTAGTACACAAGTCGACGGTTATATATTTTAAACACTGAAATATGTTAGTATTAATTTTACAAGTTATAATATAATTACATACAGTGTAATAATTAATTACTATTATTAATTATAGTAATCTTTAATTGTTTTTTTTTAATAATAAGATATATGACATATCATATATCTTATTATAAAAATATTCTCTCAATTTCTTACAACTATTTGTAAATATTTAAATAATCAACTCAAATCTTAGTTCTAAATGTATAAAATGTAACCTGTGTAGCTCTAGGATAATGTAATTCTATAGAGGAAAATTGGCAGATTCGCTTCAGTAGTATTACACCCCTTTAGAAACCAATATAAATGATTTTACTTAATTGTTATATTAGTATAGATAGGCTATTGGACCTAACAATGCATCTACTTAGAACATTTAATTTTTAAAGTTACCCAGAGGTTTTTATCATGGTATATATTCATTTAAATTTTTATTTTTTGCACCGAAAGCTGTCCAAAATGTTTGCACCGATGGATTCGTGCGGTGTGTTCTGGTGTAGTGTTTCTATTGGATTGGATCTGAGTCACGACAGATAGATTTTTTTTCGATTTGTTTCGGATAAACCGCGAATTTTATTAGTTGATTGGATTCTGATCCGGTATCCGCGCAGTTTGTTTTGTGGTATAGAACTTTGTTCTGTCATTTCATTAGAGTTTAAATGTGTTCGTGACTCGGCGTAAGTTTCACGTGCTCATTATATCGAATATTGTAGGTTTAAATAAAATTTATGTAATACGATTATTATATAGATTTAAAAGTAATTTTTGTCAGAAAAAAAAACTAACTCTAACTAAAAACTAACTAAGATACCATCAATAGTTTAGCAATTTAAGTTCAATTCTATTTTTACTTCACACTGTACTATACAAAATATGTGTTCTTTTGATTCGTAATGGTTTGGTGTATGATTATAAATATTTTTAAATACAGATATAATATTTGAACGAAATGTGGCAACGCTTCGTTTTACATATGCTGGATTTTGATAGGAAAATGAATTAATGATTCTCGAATCAGTCAGTGTTTAAAGTTTAAGTTATATTTTCATTTTAGGTTATGTCACATAGTATTTCAAAAATAGAATTTTAGTTTATAGTCTATACAGACGGACGTCATTTGCACTTTTCTGCAGATATGTGAAAATAGAAGTAAAACGTTAACTCTTTCAATATGGACATTGTATAGCTGTTTATACATTGTCTATATTTATGAACGTTAGTAACGCCCACTAATAAGAGATTGCAAACGCTTCCAATCGTTGATACGATACTGCCGAGATAATAACAGCTCACGTGGCGCCTAGCGGTGCAAGACGAATGCGTGGGCAGCCTACACCTTCGGAGTTCAATAGCTTTTAACCGAAAGATGTATCTAGTAATATATAGATTTGAACTGCTTGAGATTATACATTTACTTTGATATAAGGATCGAAAGGATCGATGAATTGACATATCCAAATTTTTATAAACTGAACATTACGTGAGTTCTATTCGCGCAGTGATGTCTTTATTGGTAATAAATGGCATAGCTGAGTAAAAGGCGATTCATTTTCGCCTCGAAGACACAGATTATTTGAATACTTTCATCACGGGCGTTGATACAACGCCAATCTCATCTAGTCCTCTTAAAGCCTAGTATGCGACGTTACAACAGCACTTCAATATCAGCGCGTCGTTCGCATTGTTTTGAGCGTTGTAGCGATAACAATGGCCTGCGCGTTCAGCCGCATCGCAGTCTCTATTTCGTAATTGTGCGTGAAAAATAACTGTCTCCGTGTTCCTCCCGCTGTGTTCGAACCGAGACGTATTTAAGTCTCTTCGTGAACTCTTTTGAATTCCTAACGAAACGTAGAGTCTTCTCGCCTTTTCGGTCGGTAATATTAAATATGAAATTGCTTATATTATATTCAAATTAAATAACAAATAAGAATGCTAGGCATCGCCAAACTAAGGCTAAGTGATAAGTTCTACAAACAGTGTCGTTGAAGATATTTTTTTCCAATTGTTTCAAAAACGTCATTTAAAATGGACGCGACGCTCCTTTTGGTGTGACATTGTGTGTCACTTAACGGTATTCGTCGTGGCCGACATGTCACTGAGGCGCCTGCGGCATGTTTTTTTTGTGTAAACACTTTCTGCATTAAGCACGTGTACGTAAATTGCGGGCGTAAGGAACGATTGGGTTGTGTCGACTTTCGAAACATTTTGTTATCCACATTACGAGCGACGGTCTACTATTAGATCAATCGTGACGTACGGCCCTTGTCGACAGTTTTTATGGCGTTAAAGTCGAATCATCACGAATCAACAGCGCAGAAAAATCGGGCTCAATGTTACGGCGCGCGTTCGTATCCACGTTCGTTGTTTCGCAATAGCGCCCCCTCATCGCTTTCGTAGGCTCGCGAAGCCCATAATAGCGTTCGGCGGCAGCGCGGCGCATGCAGAATTAGCGTCGGTGCATTTTTGTGCACCATGACGCAATCCCGGCGCTCGGCAGCCGCTTTGTGGGAGAACACTCCGATCCCGAATGCGGTAGTTTTGAATGGAGGCCGAGATTCATTTAGCGTACCTGGAAGTGGTTCTAACGCGATGGCGGCTCGCATACGGCGCGTTCCACATGACCATCGAAGTAAATTGTCTCGGATTCTATTTCGGAAACTGTTATTAATTAGCTGTCTCGAGAGAATAAACAACACTGATACCCGTGACAGTTCTTAAAACAGCAGAGAGAATTTATTGTCTCGTGCTCAAGCGTTAAGAATTATGTAACGGACGTATTATATTACATTGGGTTGTTCTTTTTAATAAACGTCGACATAATTAATAGATTAAAGCTATGTTGATGTCCTTTATCGTCGGAATAACTTGCTATGCTATGAGATCCGTTTTTAGTCACTGACATTTCACTACGATTCAATAATACTGACATTGGTAGTTTCTATTGACGGATGTTTCGTGTGCACGCAGCCTTATTTCCGTCAAGACCTTGCAACTATAAGGCAACCGTCAGCCGTGTCGATCACGACCCATTGTCTGTAGCACATCGTCGACTAGTTATTAAAAGCGAGAAGTTGCCCAACTTGGAAGTTGCGGCGTAGGGGGCACGCACTTTCGACACGCCTTTGTTGCTCATGTCAATGCGTGCGAATTGAACTGAGAAGCGTTACGTCGCCCCAAGATCAGAATCTTTACTGATATCGTGCAGTATTGTGGCAAAGATGTCGCCATTTCCAAACTAAACCGCATAGTACCGCGTAATTTGGACATAACATGATGGAGATGTTTTTGGCACTTAAAACTTCTCAACGCTTTATTTCAGTGTTATTTTACTGACATGGTACTCCACCACAACTCGGGCGAGGCGCAGTTGCTAAAGCCTTCAGTGTTTGGCTTCGGGAATCGTGGGTTCGATTCCCACACGGAGCAGTTATTAATCTGAGCCACAGGTAATAGTTCCGGATCTGAGTGTTTGTTCCCAAGTAGGGTAAGCGTCTAGTCAATACTATTAACATGATTCATTTTGTGCCCCATCTAGGTTCAAGCGCGCCCCGTGCGCCAGGCCAATGAAGCCATTCGAATAACATTAATTATTATGTTTAATAAATTAACAGATTATTGTTATCGGTTTAAACTCTAATGCGTACGCAAGATTTAAAGTTACACGACGCAACAAAAACAACTTTAAATAAATAAGCTTGAAAAATTATTCACGACTAGCTGACCCGGCAAACGTTGTTTGCCATATAAATTATTTCTAGAGGAATCGGAACGCACGCATAAATTTTTGACAGGTTACACAGACATAGTTGACAGATTGACAGGTACAGTTTGTATGGGAAAATAAAATTGTTGCTATTTCGATTTTCCATGCAATTTTTCTATAATTTCTCATCGTTTAAACCTTCCCTGGACTGCCACGAATATATCAAAATCAAAATTAACCAAATCGGTCCAGCCGTTCTCGACTTTAAGCGAGACTAACGAACAGCAATCCATTTTTTTTGTATTAGAAATATAGGGCTTCCACCGATAAGAACATTACTTCACTTTTACACAATGAGTTTACATTTAAATATCTCCACAATCTTTTTCTCAACGGCATTGATTTACCATCTTCAAAGAGATAAGAGTGTACCATATATCTTTCACTTTAGTGAAGAAAACAATGGACAATTTCCTAGTGTGCCACGTTATTAACCTGCTCCATAAACAATACTTGTTTGTTTATAATAACTGGTATGGTAAAGTAAGGCACATTTGTAATGTATACAATAGTATAGTTTATTCAAGTTATGGGATGACTAATTTATATGCAATATAGAAATGTTCTTTACACAAGTCCTTAGACTAGCTGCTGCACGCGACTACGTCTGCGTAGAATAGGCTGAAGGCGTAACATTCAGACAGAAAGACAGATGTACATAAAATATGTATTTGTATATAAATTATAGCCTTAGTCTTATTCTGATGGTTAAGCTATATTATTGTAAGGTTTCATTAAAATCCATTCAGTAGTATTTGCGTGAAAGAGTAACAAACATCCATCTACACATACAAACTTTCGCCTTTATAATATTAGTAAGGAAGGATTGACAATTCACTCAATAATTGGATTTGTAAGAAAAAAGTTTCAAATTCCTATTAATATGGAATGTAATTGAATAAGATCATCTCCAAAAGTTATTGCGTCAGCACATCGTTTAATGTGCATCGTACAATTTAGTTTTAGCTGTATGTCTAGTTGTAGGTGTAAGTATTTATTGATTTTGCGATATCTATTTAAAATACCGTCCAAGTGCGAGTCGGACTCGCGCACGAAGAATTCCGTACCATCTATAAAAACGGCAAAAAAATCATGTAAAGGAGCTAGATTTAAATATTTTTTTATTCTGTTTTTTTAGTATCTTCTTGTTATAGCGGCAACAGATATACATCATCTGTGAAAATTTCAACTGTCTAACTATCACGGTTCATGAGATACAGCCTGGTGACAAACGGAAAGACAGACAGACAGCGGAGTCTTAATGATAAAGTCCCGTTTTACCTTGGGAACGGAACCTGAAAAATGGAAAATAAATTCAAGATATAAATACGCGTTCCTCGTGCGTAATGGCACACCGAGAAAACGTTAGTATTTAAACATATAATACTTATAGTTTACTTTTATTGTAAACATAATTAACACGTACTTGTTTGTTTTGAAGTCTTAAACTGTTTGCGTTTCGCGCGGCTGGTCAAAATTTTCAATTAGGGATACTCTCTTTATATTTCCAATAAGGCTTTGACTAGAGGACGTAAGATAAAAGGATTGGAAAGGCTTACAAATAAAGGTCGTGATGTTAGAATTAAAAAAAAAATAGGGGAGCTGGAACTGATTAAAGATTGCAACGCTCATTTAACGCTCCGATAAACGCAATTACGGGCCCCGGATCTATGAAGAGTTCTCTTCCCTCTGCCATTCGTTTTTTTAATGCCAACTCCTTAGATTTTACTTTTTGCGCGGAAATTCGTGTCAACGGATCCCCATTCATTACGTTTAATTATGTCTGTGTGTTATACTATTTCCTTTCCTCGGGTCCTTTTTGTTTTCATTTTGAAAAAAGAACCTTTTAAATCTCACTATTTAATCTCACTTCGGGTGTATCATTTTAGGTCAAGCGTGCCTTATCTGGTAAAATCAGTATGTCAAACCTTGCTTTTGAAACGAGCTTTTTAATTAAACCGATGCTGTTTCCACGTCTATTATTACTATAAAAATTTCATTGAAATAAATGCAATTAATCGTATTTTTAGAAATTCATAAAAACACAGTACCAACTCCAGTCAATGGCAGCATAATAATTTAAACATTCATGAACTTCCCGCGGTTTTATTCAAGTCTACTGGAGCATTATTAGGAGTAGATGTTATGTTAAAATAATGTTCCACCGGAGACTTAAGACACACGTACACCTTTATCTTGAAAACGGGTAAATGCGCCGCAATACCGTCGACCGAACAATGGAGGTCTGCACCCTCCTTATATCTAATGAACACGAAGAAACGTCTTTTGAGGAGCATCCACTGGTTTAATGGTAACAATTGTTTGTAACGATGCTTTACGTTATCTCTGTTCCATTTTCGAAATTTAATTTAGTTTCGCTGTCGGCGACCTAGTTTAGAAGACGTTCGGAATTTGAAAAGGTTCCTGACAGCACATGACAGATGGCAGTTTCACGCCTCTTCTAAGAACCTATTCTTTCTCGAATACTACGGCTCTTCACAAGAGAAATAATTATAGAGTTTCTTTGCATACTGAAAAAGTTGTTGCTAAGAGACAAATGCTTTTATTTTTATTGTCTTATCAAGCGTGTTTTTGTAATTCAATATAAGGTAACTTTAGTGGGTGGTATCGTTCTTTGCTCTTTTGAATATCAAGGGAAAATAATTAAAAAATATACTTTTGTTTGTCGGCACCTTTACTTTTTATATCGGGTTAACAAAAGTGCGCCGTTGGGAAAGCGAATAAAATAGGGCTTATCTCTTATCGTCTGTTTGTAATTAGATAGTATGGTTTAGCTTTATTTACTGCCAACACGTGCGAGCAAAACTGCGATTGTGACTTGCATACTAAACATTTTAATATTAAATCTTCATGTTTTTATCATATTTTTTCATATATTTACCGAACTTTACAGTACTGATTACAACATTTTCAAACCTGCCAAATATTAATGCAACGATTATATTATTTCATCCGAGTTTGTTTTCTATTCTGGTCAGCGTTTGGTTTGGATACCGCTAAACGTACATGGCAGTGGGCAGGCCACATCGCTCGAAGAACTGATGACCGATGGAGAGTAAAGGTTAAAGACGTAGCGTTGGAAGGCCTCCCTGTAGGTGGACCGACGACATCATAAGAATCGCGGGTAACCGGTGGATGCAAATGGTAAAGTGTCGTTCGTTATGGCGTTCTAAGGGACCTATGTTCAACAGAGGACGTCTTGCGGATGATGATGATAATGATGATGAAACGTACATGAGTTGGTGAAAAAGCTTAAGTTCATTGAAAGATTTTTTTTCCTTAACCCAATACCAGATGTCATATGTAGCAGGAATTACGAGATGCTCCGAATGAAACAAAACGTTGTCTTCTGGTGGTACTAAACGCGCTTACGTAAACAATTAAAATAAAATAAAGATAAAAAAAAATTATGTCTGTTAATGGTCTATTCAATTGTGAAGTTTTTTTTGCTTCTAGTCGATTTATCAATGTAACGCAGTATAAGACAAAAATATTAATAGCCGAGTTAAATGTTGTAAAAAACGGGCCAGAAAAAACTTTGTGTCATCATCAGTAAGAATAACCATTTCCATAGTTAATTTAAATTTTAATGACTGCAATATAAATTTTATACGACGGCATTATGGCATCAATCACTTTTATAATACATGAAAATATATTCGGTGTTATGTACATATAAAATATATTTTATCCATAATTAATTATATTCTATACAAAGAATACATTGTTGTCAATTATATTTTCAAACGATATACCTATAGCAGAAATGAATACTTGAAAAAACTGAAATGAATGATGACCGTCAAGAGTTTTTGAACTACAAAATTCCCTAATTTAAAGCTAAGTGAGCAACATTTTGGTCCATTCATCATTTTTCAGTGTTTGTCTTTTCAATTTGCAAGTAGATTTTATTTTAGTTCCATTATAACCAATAATGATTTGTTTATTTTTTTTTAATTTTGACGAATACGTTTTCAGATATATTTTTGCATTGTCTTTATAAGAACAGTAACCTAAATAACATTCGCAATGTCTTGCATTAGACTTTCGATGACTATTTACTTACTGGAGTCTTCCAATTGATATGAACTGCGAGCGATATAGGAAGTAGAGAGGATTCAATGGAAATGCTCTAGTCTATAGAGCAGTTTGGACGTCGCGGCCCCATCCAGGCAATTTACTCTCCATCACAAACCAATCAGCGACCGGCAGCGCCGTCTCGCTTCCTACAACAAATATTGCCCTCCACGTTCAACTTTGACAACGCTCTAATGCACAAGATCTCGCGTATTTTACCCGAAGGCGTCTTTTAGATCTACCGAAGCGTTTCGGATTCATGTGCTGTGATTCTTCCACAAATGAGATCTCGAAAAAGGAGAACTTATTGATTTACCCTACTGGGAATCAACCGAATAACCCAGATAGCCTGTTGATTAGTTTTTCTGTGGGAGAACGCAGCAAGCGGGCTGGTGGTTTACATAATGTTAAGTAATAATCAACGCCCTTGGACATCCGCATCACCGGGGTTGCAGATGGGTTGCCGCCATTTTAACATTGTTGGCCTACCAGACGAAACGCAGAAGTAGAATACTCCCACCTCAGTAAATAAGTGTAAGTTATAAGATGTGGACGTTGGACTAAGCTTGTATGTAGGAGTATACAGTGACTTCGTACAATTTGTGCCGCGTAAAACATTCTTGTACTACTCTACTAACACTTTTGTACTAGTAACCGCCGCGCATGGACGTTTGCAACACCCGTAGGGTTGTAGATGCATTGCCATCTTAATATAAAGTAGGCCCCGGCTACCTGATTCATCAGACGAAACGCATAAGTACTTACGCCTGACTTCTGTGAGGTTGTGGTACTTATCTGGACGGACATGCCCATTCGTGCAACAGCGTGTTGCGTGGCCTTCCCACTGTAGAAACCAAACCTTAATAGTGGATCATTATTTAAAACTTATTTGACTATAATATGGTGTCAATCGGTCTTTAATCTGAGGAAACGAACGCCTTTAGAAGTGTTTAGGGATTAGTGTCTGTACTGCGAGAGAAGCCTCACAGACACGGACATTGGATAGGCAAAATCCTCGTAATTACAGGCCGAGTGCAGTTAATAATTTGGATAATTGCCTTTGTCCGTTTTTTTTTTACTTTACCGTTTCGAAATGAGTCACGTTTTCTATTCGCGTTGGCCGCGAGGCCCGTCTTATTCATATTCAATGTTAATACGCGCATGAAGATTTAACTGCTGAGAAATTATTTATAACTTTAATGACGCTATAAGACAGAACATATCTTTTGCCTCTCGCGTTATACATATTTTTTGTAAAGTTTTTATGGTTTACATTGCTTATTTCAATAGAAAAAAAATCTTTGATAATTGTACCTATATGTATACAATGCAACGGTTTATGTAGCTATTTATTTTAATCCAAAATACCATACATTCTGTGTAATAAAAGTGTATTAAATGTTGTTAAATAGTATTTTTAATCATTTTCATACATTGTCTTTAATGTTTTCTTTCTTATTATTATACGTAATTTATTCAATGCCACTGACACACACATTTTTTTACATTTCTATTGCTTTCGCAGTGAATTAATGTCACATGTCCAGGTGTATCTGTCCATGGAAGTTACATAGGCCGTGACGTCACATTAATTTGATCAAAGTGAAAACTCGAGCGTTTTCCACGCTACTTGTTTCGAGTCGCTGTCAACGGCCCGACTAATGCTTCCGTCGGCTTCCAATTTTAAACTTTTGATGGTGTTTACGGTCGCGGCCTCAGATTTATGGGGCATTGGAATCTCTCGTATCAATTCCGTCAATTTCACGGGTGGGACGCTACGTTTCAGATGAACTATGCCAAGGAAATCAAGCCCAGTAGCACCACGGACGATTAATGAGAATTTAATTAATAACTATTGTTTAAATCAATGTTAAGTAAATAATTAGCTAGCACACTAAAAAAAAATTCAAATGATATTCTTTAAAAGAATAAATATCCAAAGAATTAGCCCTGCAAATAAGGATCCCTAAAACTCACTCAAGCAAACGGCAGACAGTATAAGCTTCTTACGTATTTATTCTAGTATTTCACGACAAGCCTGAGACATAAAGTCGAGAACGAGTCCGTTTAACATATGACTTTAAAGAATTTTCATTAAACGAATCGTGCAATATAAATTACTTTACGCGGCAATGACGTTCTAAAAGTATTTGCTCTAAAAGGACGTAATTTCTCATTCGTTATAAACTACTGTTTAATGATTTTGATCTTTGCTAACCAGTTTTATCACAGACAAGTTAATGTATCGAGATTGTAAAAATTATGAAAACTAGTATTTATATCATCTAGTCTTATAGTTTTTACGTTGTTATATTATCTTTGATTTAAATTACCCCCAAACTTTACTCAATTCTTTGTATTAGTCCCGGCATTGTATATATACACTAGCGGACCCGACAGCCGTTGTCCTGTCCACACGTCTTAAATTCGAAAATTTCATACTTTTTAAATAACTGTGAATCTAAACCATTCTCGAATCGACTTGAAGACAAACAAAAAAAATTTGTAAATTAAATTTTAATTGAAATCGGTCCAGCCGTTTAGGAGGAGTTCAGTGACATACACATGTACAGAAGAATCACTGCTTAGTATAAAACAAAGCCTTCCCGCTGTCCGTCTGTCCATGTATGCTTAGGATCTTTAAAACTCCGCAACGTATCTTGATGCAGTTTTTTTTACTAGATAGAGTGATTCAAGAGGAAGGTTTATATGAATAATACATTGAACCCCTTGCGAAGCCGGGGCGGGTCGCTAGTTATATAAATAAAGACTAGCTGATAACCGCGGCTTCGCCCGCGCGGCCAAAGGGAATTAACAATAAGTTTTTATTTATTCATATTTTTTTATTCTGATGTATAAGCAAGTATAATGTAAGAAGTTTCATTAAAATCCATTCAGTAGTTTTTACGTGAAAGAGTAACAAACATCCATCCATGCATACAAACTTTCGCCTTTATAATATTAGTAAGGAAGTAAGGATATTATATATTATTAGTTAGGAAGTAAAGATAGTAAGGATTTGTTTTTCTTCTTAGGTGTCGCGACCGGAGAACAGGCGCTCGGTGTCGGTGGGCGCCACTGGCACTGGCGTGGAGAGGCACTCGTACGCCGAGGGTCGGGTGCCCGCGCCCCATGGGCTGCCACCGTCCCCCGGAGCCGTGGCTGCGCAGCGCCGAGTCGAGGCTGCCTGCCAAGCCAGCAGGAAGCTCCTGGAGGAGACGCTCGCCAAACCTGGTGAGGAAGCATGGCGGAATTTTATTATTTTTTTAAAACGTAGCCCTTACTTTAGGATAACATTACCCTGTGTTGTAAGGACGTTATACATACATAATTTTCTCGTGTGCAAACACCCAGATGCGAAACAACTATCTGTGGGTCACACAAGTAGTTGGGGATCGAAGCTAAGAGAACCCCGACGCTGAAGCCAATACCTTAGCAATTGCGGTACGGAGTCATCATCAATTATGCTATTAAAGTGCATTCTATACAAAGATCCGGCGGCGCGGTTGCGAGTTGGATTCCCGCACAGATTAATGTTCCTGATTCCACTGTTTGAGGTGGACTCATATATATATTCGAAATATTTCTTTTTAATATTTAGAAAATATGCAGGTTTCCACACAATGTTTTCCTTCATCGCTGAGCGATAAATCAACCCTTATAATTAACAATTTCATTGGTGCCGGCGCCGGGATTTGAACTTAGGTTACTCGAAAATATTGAATTAATAAAAGCGAGTGCCCGAAAACTGAGATATCACGGCTCCTAACTTTGTCAGTGCTTCGATATTTGCAATGCTTTTAAAATTACCTCTCCTATGCCCTCATATGGCATTACAAAAGAAGTCTTATCCAATATGTATCTATTTTATAAATTTAGTTTCGCTTTTTAAACAAAATTTATTACGTTTAAATGAAGTAAAGCAATCGCTTTGGTTAAAAGTACTCCAAATGTAATTTATTACGGAGTGAATGTCTGAGTGAATCCAAGATCGTTGATGGAAGTGGTGTATTGTGTGTTGTAATATCTTTCATCATTGTGTCTTTCACCACTTGTCCGAGAGAGAAAGTAGTCTTAAGAAAGCGCAACGATCCGCTTCAGATTAACGCCATTTATTATTACAATCTCATTGGATTGAGAAATTATTTATTCCATATCCGATCACGTTCTGAAATGAATGCCAGGCTTTTCAACTTATTTCTATTATTCGACAGTTGAAATAACTGACGTCGAAGCATTAAAAAGAAATAACAATACATTATCGAGTTGTGTACTAACTCAACATGTTATGTACATGTTGAGTTAGTACACAACTTTTGTTAAAATTGGTAACCGGATATTTCGTGTAGTTTTCACCGCAAAGTAACGACTCGTCGAATCCCAAATAAACCTCAAAAACGCTGTCTCGTGTTGGGTTAGCTTTGTTTTTTCCTCGCTTCGTTTCTTTCGGCCCGTCGCTCTCAGTAGCATTCCAGTATTGAGTCTCCCCAGCTTAGCCAAGTAAAAACGGTGCACGCCTCAGTGCTAGTTAGTTGATTAAGGCATTAATTAAATTAGACGGCGAGCGCACTGCGCGGTCTCTATCTTGGGCAATCGCGTCGCTCGCGGTTTTAAGACTCGAAATCATGAACGAATGCGGTCGTTATGCATGCTCCGTGACTAGTGATGCTACCTCTACGAACTATAGATTAAGTAAAATCTCTAAATCTCCATAGTAATCAAAATTTATGGTAACGTTATTTATAAAGTATCGATGGTTAATTCCTTGTAGTAATTAACCACCATAACACGAGCCGTGATAGTGTCCGGGCGTTCGCTTTTAATTCAATATACTCGCGCAACCTGTGTACGATCCCCGGTGAAATTGTTAATTTTATGTGCCGAATTATCACGTGCTCAGCGATGAAGGAAAACATCGTGAGGAAACTTGCATATTTTCGAAATAATAACAAAAAAAATATTTCGAAGATATGTGAAGTCCGCGAAACTGCAGTGACCGCGTGGTGGACTATGCCCTGATACCCTCTGTACAGAGGAGGCCTTTGCCCAGCAGTGGGACATGTATGGGGTGTATACTTTACTTTTTTTTAATAAAACGCACACAATCCGCCCCTCGACCATGAATGAAAGAACGTATTCACAAAAATAGATTTTTAATATCATTTAAACACAATAGCATGCGGAAGAATAGTCGCATCCAATAAAACTTCGATGTCCATAAATTCCGCGGTCCAATGAATACATTTTATAAAAATTAAGTGGACAACGAAACTTTTTCTTTTTTTTATGTGAAAAGTTGCCAAACGAGCAGACGGTTCACCTCCGTCTGGTCCGGTTGATGTTAAGTGAAAACCGCCGCCCATGGATATCTGCTATACCCGAGGGTTTGCAGATGCGTTGACAACCTTTTTTGAAAATTGGGCTCCGGCTCCCTCATTCACCAAACGAAACGCGAGTACTAGACTTCCACTTTACGCCGTTCTTCTGTGAGGTCGTGGTACTTACCCGGACGAGCCTGCCCATTCGTGCAACAGCTGAGGCTGCTGCGTCTATTCATTGCCTTTTATTCAAAATAAACGCAGAGTAAAAACCATTCTCAACACTGACCAACATGTGATGTAGTCGATTCTAACATGTATGATTTTTTAATGAGTTGTACTTTAAATACTACTTATAGCGAGCAGAATATCTATCCCCTTAGTCACTGATTATTTAAATACATCTATATATTTAATAAGTGAAATGAATTCGATAATTTGCATCCGTCACTGCCATGGTCGTTAAATACGTAAATCATAAAGTAATACATTGTGTAATAATACTCTTCAAATGAACTTCATGAATAAAGAGTCATGCTTGTGAATTTAATTTAGTTTATTAATCCATACAAGCATTTTCCACAGATTACATTAATTAAGAGATGAGAGTTTGCACAATATCAAAAGCTTGTGTCTAAATTACTTTATTTCAATTTGGACAATTTTCAATTCGCTGATAACACAAAGAAGTTATTAAATTCATATGAATTCTTTATTTGAACAAATGAATGTTAACATGGCCGGCAATAATATGCCTGTGTACAAATTTTTTTTAAAAAGTTATTAAACATTTAAACTAGTTTAGCGATAAACAAAATATGCACGAAATATCTCGTCACTAGTGTCCAGCTAATATGAAAGGTTTGCTTGCATACAGGCTCCCATGATACTGGAGAGTTTTATGAGGGGCTTCAGGAAGTCTGCGGAACAATGCAGTCCCGCAGGACACACGAGCCGTATTCAAAGCCCCGTAAAAATAGACCCCCGACAAAGCCGGTCTAGACTAGAATGACGCTGTGTTTGAAATTAGAAGCGGCGGAAAGCTGACAATGGATTTAACCCCATTTCCGCTGCAGTTTTCCAATAGCCCATCGCTTGTGACGTCATTAACTATGTCGGTGCCGATGCGTGTTAATGATGCTCAATCGGGATTTATGAAATTGTGAGCAGTATTGATTAACTTATAACGTAAAAATTAATCGTTGGAAAGATATACTTATGTATAATAATTGTAACAAAACGATACAGTTGATAATTTTATGTAGTTATAAATACTTAAATGAACGCATTGAAAACTTCTGGCTCCCGAGACGTTGCGAGAGTTCTGAATTAGTAACGATACGTGTTTCACTAGAATGCTCGTGACGTGTATGCGACGTACGTACGTACGGATGTATATTTATAGGTATTCCCTGATGCAGCCTTCCTATTGACCTAAAAACGCAAGGCTGCGCTATATTTGCAAAAATGATGAATTTCATATTTTATGTCGCTATTGAAATTGTCTTCTCTGCGACTAATGGGGTCGGTTTAAAAAGGCTTCGTAAAAATATTAAAGCAGTAGTTTGTTTCTACGATTTTAATATTAAGTGAATTTTTGAAGAATATTTTATTCATCGTTTTTCAATGTTGTATTTATTTTACATTGGAAATAATGGTATGTTCCTAGTTATGGCGTATTTCGATGAATATTGTGTTGCTATAGTTATTAATTCCACTACTTCAAACACGTTCTAAAACGTATTCAATAAACAATTCGATCAACAAATTAATTACTAATAACACACTACACAATTAATTCCGGCATAATATTTGATATCATCTGATAATACTTTTAACAAGTAACTGTTAACAAAGTAACAAGAAAGAAAGACAACTTCAAATCTCACACTCACTATACGATTTCTATTGGATTTTTAGGAGTTCTCTGATGTATCTCCGGGGTCATATGTTCCAATACCAATGAAGTGAATATGAAACCTCATGGGTGGTAAACTGAATGCAATGTAAAAATATTTTTTAAAATCGTTACATAAATGACTGAGCTCTCAAGTTAGTTCGGAGTTAACAAACATAAAAAATGCCATCGAATTGAGAACCTCCTTTTTGTAGTCGGTTTAAATCAACAGTACTACTGGATAGATTATGCCACTTACATCTACTCTGCATCTTCACTTTATTTTAGTATCATTAAAGAAATGGTAAACATTATTTAAACACAGACAATATTTATTCAAATGTGGCTTCCAACCCACAACTTCATAAATTTGTATAGTTCTGCTTCATAAATTTGTAAAACGTTGAAACTGACTTAGTCAGGAAACCTTTGATGAATGAATTCTCGGTCGTGACTTCGTTAAGACCTAAAGCAATTTTTTTTTCATCGCCTTAGTATGTCGTAGTTCATCTTTGCTTAACCACAAAACATATATTGTGGCAGTTAAATTGTCGGCAGTAACAATTTTGCCGATAATGCATCTAGTCTCGATATTTAAATATCATTTGTATATAGTGCCCCAACGAGCAGCCTCTTAACTTTACGAAATTTCCACAGTAATAATTGAAGATTATAAATACCATTGATTGTTAGTCTATTATGGCGGATTTTCTACTGTCGGACTTGCGGTCTCTTGTTCAACTTCCGTATTCCAATTTCGTGCAACAACAGGCTTTCCGATTTCCCAAAATCCAACCCGTTAGGAGTTTTTGCTAATATTTCTGTACGAGTGACAGATTTATTACCTACTTCTTGTCTGATTTGGAATTTAATAACCTCAACTCTACGTGAGCTTTGTGAAAGGCCAAATCCTAGGAGCCTACAAGAACTCACAGAAGACTAGGCTAAACTTGAAGTGCTAGTACATTTGGATTTCGTCCGGTGATGAGTAACTTACTAGTGATGTGGATATCCAGTGTCCACGGGGCAATCACTACATGTTGGTTTTCAATAAACGTGTTGTGTTTAAGGGACCCCACCGACTATCGTCCTGCCCCCCAGCGGTGGATACTGGGTGGACGGGGTGGATGACACACCACCAGACGGCGAGGACAGTGAGCCACGGGCCCAGCCCGGCACGCCGAGGCAGGCCTCCAGGCGGCACAACATCGACACAGACGACACCGCCAAGTACTACAGGCGGTTCTTCCTTGGCAAGGTAAGAGTTCGTCCATCTCACGAGCGTAAATTAATAGATGCAACAAAAAACACGCCCTAAAAATATTAATTTTATTGATTGCCTTAAAAATATTAATTTTATAGATTTCTTTATTTCACGCGAATGTTATAAACATTTAATGAAACTATTTTACGGATTTTATCGCGTCTTAATTATTGTGTGGATGAACCACCATGACTTTCCGTGCAGTCTATAGGATACTATTAAGAGCTGTTCAAGGAAACAGGTTTCATAACTTTTGGAACACTAACGGCGTGAACTCATGCCTCTAAGGATTTCAGTTTCAATTTTATTATTAAGAATGTATGTGTAGTTTATTCTACTGATGTTATGAAGCAAGTAGTTAGTAAAATCGATACATTCTAGTATGCACAGAATACATTGAAACACTTATTGGGGATAAAGACTGAAAATTTCTTTATCAATAATTGTCTGACAAAGAAATTGCGTATTTAATTGTGTATTAGTGTATTCTTTGCCATTAAGAAATAAACTTCGTATTCTTACGTCTACATTTTCAGGGTTAATGATTTGTACCATTTGCAAATTATGTGTCGATAACATATTATATTTTGTTCCACTTACAATACACATTCCATGTTATAATGTTTGCGAGGGAAGATATTCCAGCCAAGGAATTTTCCTGTTAGCTATTTTGTTTACAATTGATTTTATGTATATACATTTTCCTGTTCTAGTTCAACTAATTAGTACAGCAAATTTTACCATCAACGCCTGCATCGTCAATTACCATCAGATGGGATGGCAGTAAAGTTCTGGCCAGTTTTGAATAAAAAATATATTCAACTTATTTATTAAAACTATACCGCACAATAATATTAACTGCGATATAAAAAAACATAACTTGAATAGTCAAAGGCTCCACGTTTACTACACTTACTCTCCATAAAAGGCATGATAAAGAAATATATTTACTACCTTAGAAGATGGGGATTGAATTGAACTGGAATTGTTCCCGTTGCAAAATTTCCATGCGATTCATAAATAAACGCATTGATTCGCGCGTCTTATCCGCCCGCCACGCTGTCTGCAAGAGGCACAATCGAACCCGTTCTTAATTTAAAACGCACGCGAACATTCAATATTGGAAGTATTTATCTGAAGCGCATTTCGCTCCCCTTGACATCGCAATTCGTCTGGCACCGAAACAGGTGCCAGTAACCTCAATGTCAATAGCCATTTATAAAGCGACCTCGTGATCTGTTAGACCTCACCATAAGTTGCGATCGTGTTTCAGATTGCTCGTCAAGTTCGCCTTATAAAAACCAATATATTTTCCTAGGAAAATTGCCGTTATTGCCTATCCGTATTCCTATTTAAAATCCGGTTCGAAGTTTGGAATAACGTTATTTTCATTGTTTATTTTTCTACGATTTTGTGCTTTCATTGACCCGTTTGATTGTAGCGTTTAGTTTTCTTAGCTTATAGAACAGAATCCATTTCTTTTACCTTAGTTGTTCGCGGTCACAATGAACAAAGATTATTTTATAAACAAACCATATGAAAGTAGTAAATGGTTATCCGCTCACATAAATAGTAGTTTTAGAAGTCGGTTTTAAAATTATGTTTTATTAGTTCTATTAAGGATGTCTTTTTTTATGTCAATTTGAATAAAATATAGTTTACGGCGTGCATAGATGCACGTTTCACACGATGCGTACCCCAGCCTTGTATCGCTCTATACAGTTACCAACACGTGTGAACTCTCCCATACCCACGCCTTACTAAACGTACTCTTTCTTCTTTTTCATATCATCTAGCTTCGTAATTACCGGCCTCTAAACATGTTCAATTTCACCCCCGCATTAATATGGACGATAACGTTTATAAAGTAACGATCATGTTTTATTGGGTGTTTTCTGATCTACTTACTTGTACCCTTAATGGCAAACAATGTCTAGGTATGTAGCAAAAATCACTGTTGCTTCTGCTGTATACTTATACTAATTACTTATGGGAGACAGACTGAAAAACATGAAACTAAACGCAAAAATCTTATTAATTCTTTGGATACAAAATCTTACGAGTGAAACTTCGAAATTTCCTTCTGCTGTATACGATGATGTGCACTTACTGGAATTGATAACATAAATATAAAGTTAATAAATTATAAAAAAACGAGAAATTCTTCAAAGTCTACTGCCAGTACTGCTAATAACGGGAATGATAACGCAGGGAAATCAACTTCACCAAATCAACATATTAGAATGTGTTTTTAACAGTTTACGTTCTTCGTAAACGCTCAACCGTTCTGCTGTGCACACATGGAAATTAAGAAGTGTACAAAATGGAATCCACCAATTAAATTGGTCGCGAAGCAACGGAGCGGGTAAGGGTCCGAGCGCTCGTTACGAGTGGAAAAAATCCCACAGAGCAGTGGGAAAAGGCGGCGGTGCTCAGCACAGCGGAACCGTTTGGCTTCACGCCCACTGAACCAGGTCCGAAGCTGCGTAGATCGAGTCGATTACTGCACTAGAAATTGGACCCCTGCCTTTATAGTACACCAATCTCGACGCGCCCTTCGTTATTTAAAAATTTAAAAAACATCCGTACATTAGTATTTGCGGTTGAAGCCAGACTACATAGTGTTATGAACTTGTAGAATTTACAATAATCTACAATTCTACACGATATATACGAATCGAAAGCGTAATTCGGTAACGTTATTTCTAATTGCGTTTAACATTAATATGTAAATTAAATGAGTGAATGAAATCGTTTTTACCGTTCGGTTTCTATCTAACTTCCTACAAATATCGTAGTAAGTTCGTGTTGTATCTTACTAAAATTTAAATAAAATTCACTACGAAGGCGGAGAATTTCTTCAAATGAACGACAAAGGTGTCGTGACGTAACATCATTTACATGAAATATTACTATCGTTACCTTTTAGCGTCAACCCTCTAAAGTTCGATGGATCATTGCGACACCACAAGGGTTAGGCCAGATAAATGAGATGCTCCGATCGCTAGGCCGATAGTGAAGGGTTGATGTGTTAATTTGTAACCACCAGACCGTTGGCGAGAGCAGGTACACTGCTGAAAGTGTACGCATTATTTCGTTCAAAATTAATTAAACAAAAATTTTCACGTGGTTTAAACTGTCTGTCATATCTCAATAGTCTGGGATATGATTTATATTTTGCAGCCGTGATAGCTCGTCCGGACGCTCGCCTTTAATTTAATATATTCGAGCAACCTGAGTTCGATCCCCGGTGCCTGCATCAATCAAATTATTAATTTAAAGTGCTGACTTGTCACGTGCACAGCGGTGAAAGAAAACATAGTGAGGAAACCTGCATATTTTCAAAATAATGACAAAAAAATATTTCGAAGATATGTTTATCTTCATATTTTATCAAATTCAAAACTCACGAGGCGTGACCTAAAAGCATCTTTGCTTTCGTTTGGTGGGTGTGTTTTGAAAGTTAAATTGGTAGTCGCCTTAAAAGTCCACGAAGCCACTGCAACTTCACGGCTGTTAATCACATAATCTCAGGTGAACCGATTGTTTGTGTGTCACTTGCTCTCATAAAAATGTATGGAAAACAATATATGGATATATTACGTACAAACACACAAACCATGAAATAACTGAGCTACTAGTATACATTCGAACATTACTTATTCAGTGCGTCGAGACGAATTTCGTAACGTACGCCTGTTGCAGCATTTAACATCTCTAGGATGTTTACATGACATAAATTTATTTCTACATAACTAGGTTGGTCAATGTAATATGAAAAGATGAATGATGTTATCCAGTAAATGAAACGAACGTATTACAAAATGTCTTTTTGATGTGGCGCTCAACATGTATATTTATTTATTAATGTACACGAAACTCAGGATACACAAAAAAATATTAAAAATGTAAGTAATTTACAAAAGGTAAGCTTAACTCAATGTACGAATTCTCTGCCAGCTAACCTAGTGAGAAAAATATGTGATTGATTATAGCTGGAAATGTGTAACATACCTAAATATATCTATAAATATGTACATAATACATAACATAATATATAGTAAATAAAGATAGATCATATTAGAAATGTACACGGTTAAGTCACACTTTAAACGACAACCCTGAAAGTACACGGTAGACTAAGTATGCGCCTGGTTGAAAGAGAAAGGAAAGCAATAAGCAAATGGCCCCTTTCATAACGTAAAATTATTTTTGGGACAATTCGCATTGGGCGTAGAAAATTGTGGACGCCTTAAAAATGATTGCCATTTTCATCGTCTCCGTTCAACTCTGTTAAAGAAATCGGCCGACTGGGCAAAGAAAAACGCTTTGTGTCTGTAGCAAGATGCTCACAAAAGGGAGCAGGTGATGAAGTGCTCACTCATTACGAAAAAAGTATGCGGCAATCGAGGTTTCTCTCGATTTTTTGTGACACGAGGTTACCGGAATAACGTTATGCCTAATTCAATAACTGTATACTGAACTGTAGCTTAATGAAAATCAACTGTATAAATGTTGGCTTATTAAGGGATCAATCGCGGCTTGACACCTGATTAAGTATATACGCAGTTTGCCGCAGCACTTTGATATTCTATGTATAATTAAAATATTGAAGTTGTACGCAATTCATTATCATTGATTTAATTAATTAAAATACCTCTGTAATATACTAACTAACGGGCTTATTTACAAGAACTATAATTTAATTGTTACAGTGAATATCCTTACTAATATTATAAAGGCGAAAGTTTGTATGTATGGATGGATGTTTGTTACTCTTTCACGCAAATACTACTGAATGGATTTTAATTAAACTTTACCATAATATAGCTTATATATCAGCATAAGACATAGGCTATAATTTATATACATAATTTATGTATATCTATCTTTCTGTCTGAATGTTACGCCTTCAGCCTATTCTACGCAGACGTAGTCGCGGCCAGCAACTAGTTTGCTAGCTTAATCTCCCCATTTAATGTAACTATAAAATGGGGACTGAAAATGTGTTTTATGAATTATTTGCATGCGTTGGCGGCGCGATCATAAACAGAGTTTTGCCTGGTCGTTAGTAAGTTGAAATTTGTAATTGTGTTTATATTTGAACCTCACGACTAAATATGAATCAGTTGCTTGTTATTACTTTGGGATTGTTTGTTGTAAATTACTTTACTTGACAGAATGTATGTAAGCCTTGTTTGGGTCATACGTACATTGTAATAATAAATTTTAGGTGCACGAAATTTATGTTCTCGACACTTTAAATTGTTTTTATATATTTTTCTAAATATGAAAGTATTAAACGTCTGATGTTATGTTTCTTAAAGTTTATGACATCGTAAGCCACCAACCGCGTAATTTAGTATTTTCAGTGGTTTCGTGTTTCAGAAGTAAAAAAGTTATGAGTTATAAAAAAATAAATCTTTTGACGGTAAAAATAAAATGTAATATTTATTTATACAGTTTTAATATTGTACAAATGTATACGGGGTAGAGAATATTCTATCTTGCCTAATATCTCAGAATTTCGTTTGAAATTCTGAGATATTAGATATTATTGTCATGTAAATATCTTGGTCGCACTTAACACAGTTTCACATGAATTCGACTGGGTTTTCATCTTTTTCATTTCTATAGAAAGCGAAGGTTCTCCAATGATGCGATCCATCAGTGCGTTCGAAAGGAGGCATTAACCCATCGCCCCTACAATTACCGTCTTTAGCTTTCAATTTGCGTCTTTGTGGCATCCATGAAAAAGGACAAGCGATAAATTTCGGATTTCAATACGATGACTGGGAAATTTTCGTGTTTGAGCGATGGAACGTGAATTCGAACGCTGTTTATTTTTACTTTTTATGCTCTAGTGCTCCGATAGCCAGTGTCCGGGTGCTCGCTTTTAATTCAATATACTCAATATACTCAAACAACCTCAATTAAAATCCTGATGCCAGCAGCATGGTGGATTACGCCCTAATACCCTCTGTGTAGCTGGGCTTTTGCCCAGCAGTGGGACATATTATATAGGCTGTTATTTTTACTTGAAATGATTCTAGCATTTCCATGCGTGTTTTACTTCTTTATAATTAATGTTATTGAAATGATCAATATAACTAGTTAATATTAAATGCATAATGAATACTTGTTGAGTCTTTGTTTTGAATCTCCATTTCTGTTTCGATTTATGTTTGTTCACGATTATATCGTGTTCATTATATTTTTATATAAACTTTGTATGAGTATATGAAAAACTTGTTTACAACACAGGATAAACATTCGTTTTTACAAAAGAATGAGTTAGCGGTACATACAAGTGTATTCATTCATCGCGTGCAGTTTTATGTTCAATGGTTGTTGTTGTTGTTATTTTTTTACTTCAACGAAAATTTCACAACATTATTTTTAATTACTGCATGTTACCGTCTCGTATTGAAAGGATTCACCGCGGCTAAACCATTTTGCATACTCAAAGACTAACCGTTCCGCTTACAGTGTGAACATCGCCAATAAAGACCTTCAAGCTTGTCTTTGTACGTCAATAAAGGGTTTGGCGAGGTCAATGTAACTAACAATGGCAAAACTAATTACCCTGCCATCGACGAACATATCCGCGGAATATCGAGCCTACTCGAAACAACTCGATCGTGTTGTTCTTTCTAAGCACAGTCAACCAGATCGAAGTATATATTCGTGATATGGTTTACTGTTCGGAATGCACCGGTATTCCATCTATGCGTCGGAGTGCACATTAGTCTTTTGTTGTTCTAGCCTATACCTCTGCCCGGAAGAATTATTTTTTGTTTGTAACATTAACGCGTTTTTCTGCGAACCTATTTTATAAAATCAACTTTACGGATCGACGTTATATTCTAATCAGTAGGTACCAAGTGGAATGGCAGTCAAGCGGTAGTTAGTTCTATATATACAAGGAGGCTTTTTTAAGTGTATCCATTTTTTTTATTAAATTGTAGACATAGATTATGTTACATGAAAAATGAAAAGTACGGTATTTAAAATCACTCGTAATTAATTAATTACATTCATTTGAACTTATCTCAAAAATGTGCGTGATTTATGGGCAACTCATTTTATTATTTTACGCGCGATCATTCATAACTAACACGCACACAATTTCGTTTGTACGACGCATTTATGAATGACTACCGCATTGTCAACAAATTCTGTTTTTTAGGGAATAGAATCGCATTTTTTTTTTAAAAAAGGTTGTTTTTATTTCAATAAAGGATTATACTACCGAGTCTGAACCTCCTGTGTAAATTTGGACACCTTTAGAAAGGCCACCTTGTATATAAAAATATTGTATATATAGAAAGTAGTGGGCCGCGTGGTGGACTATGCCCTGATACCCTCTCCATAGAGGAGGCCTTTGCCCAGCAGTGGGACATGTATAGGCTGTTACTTTACTTTACTTTACTTTCACTTTAAAATAAATACTTCTACAAATTTTTGAATTTCATCAATATAGAACAGAGCACTATTAAAATAATATCCTATAAAAACGTAAATTATATTTTAAAAATATATGTATTTATTCTAGTCACATCATATAATCTATTATTTTACACACATGCTACAACTTTTGCTTTCCGTGTGTACCTATTCGGGCATCCTGTTATCGTAAAGAGCGGTCTACCGGATAAGGCAAGAGCGAGGTAGTGCGCGTTGCATTATCGTGTGACTTACGGCAGTATTACTGTTAAGGTCTGTCGGTTAATACCTACAGCAAATGACTAAAACAATTTTCCACCATCAGTTTGTCGGTCTGAATACAATGGGAGCTTCAAGGCAGTAGACAGGCTTTTACCGGGCTAGCGCGATCACCGAACTATATTAGTGCCAAAAAATAAATTGAAACTGTCTTACCGTTGAATTTACTTTAACAATTTACATTATTTTCAACCGATTTCAAAAAAGGAGGAGGTACTCAATTCGACTGTATTTTTTTATGTTTGCTAGTTTAGATCTCTTTGTTTTTCGTTAATAAAAAAATTTACTTGTTTTATTAACGAAAACCAAAGCCGACTTCAAGTATCTCGCTCTGTATTCATTTTATAATTGATTTTCAGGAGTTCCCTTCGTATCTCCGGAACCCAATATCCAATACCAATGAAATTTATATGGGACCACATGGGAAGCACCAGCTTTCAAATAAAAAAAGAATCATCAAAATCGGTTCACTAAGTCGAAAGTTCTGAGGTCAATCATAAAAAAATACAGTCGAATTTAGAACGTCCTCCTTTTTGGAGTCGGTTGAAAATTTACTTGTTCATGTCGCTGACCCATAAACAAACAAAGCCGTGTTGCTTTTCATTGTGACGTACGTAATTGTTCGTCTCTATTTCGAAGTGGGTTGGTCATTTATAACCCATATCAGCGGAGGCCTCATCAGAGTAAACTAGTCAATGATATCATCACTTACACTATTAGATCTGATTCACTCGGGAGATTGCGTAGTACGGTTAATTGTGTGTTGTTCGCGGGATTCAATTACGCGAATTGTGTCATTTGTAAATCTATCTTTTTTTATTGTATACCAAGAAGTGATAATCAACTTTACATTTTATGATTGTCAAATATTTACTAAGATTAAATTTTGATTTGCCAAATGAAGTTTCGAAATACTTATAAAAAACTTTGATTACAAAATACCAAATTTTAATACTAATTAGTAAGTCTACAGCGTTATCTGTGTAAACATATTCATGTTACAATGTTAATATAAGTATTAAATATTGCAGTATATCCTTAATAACTGAACTAATCTTTGATAACCTTCATTGGTAAAATAATACCTTCCCATCATATTTCACGCTGTTTTATAGTCATAGGGTGCGTCTAATGACGTAATGATGGAAATGGACAAAAGCAATTTCGACCGACATATTGGTTTATACTAACTCCATTTATAATTATCTTTCATACGTGTTATAGTGTTTTGATGTCTCAATTTCAGAAATACTTTGACACAGTTGTCCTCAATCCCAATAAATGTAATGATGTTCGTGGAAACACATTATAAACAACATGTTTTCTGACACAAAGTGTTTGAGGAAGTCTATGTCGCCAATTTAATTAAATAATGATCGATTACCTTGTTAACATTAGTAGGTATGTTGCGATTTTCCTGTTTTTAAGTGTTCTACCCGATTACTGTAACATTAGCTGTTTATATCTTTATATTTCAGCATAGATATAAAGCATATTCTTTAAATTAAATGTATTGAATAAAATCTTTTTGCGGGTTTAAAGCTTTACTAAATATAATATCGAGAAAAAGTAAAGAAACACGTTCTTCAAAGACTATCTTCAGCAATTAATCTCAAGACCTCGACTCCAACTTAAAGAAATGATTGTCCTTGGCTAACGACCTGTCATGTTGGTCTTGACTTGTGCAGTTGCTTGTGCAACTTGATTCATTCTAAACGTCCTTTTCTCTGATCATCTATTAACATTTTGTTATTTATTACCCGATACTTATATAGACTTGTATGTTACTGGCATAGTTTTCACATCCTATTAATTGCATTAATCTCTTTTTCTACTGTTGCGAGTAAAAATTTATTTGTTTTAATGCCGCTTTAATGACAATTTATGTGTTTTGTTACCAGGAGCACATGAACTTGGTTGGGTTCGACGAGAACCAGAGCCCGGTGGTAATGTCCATTAAGAATGAGCACATGGCCGGCCAGGATCATACGAGGATATTATTAAGGCTACGCACAGAGACCATGCATGGCCTAATACCTACTACAAGTGAGTGCAATTATTGGATGTCTAATTGCGGCCACCCCTGTACGTGTATCCATTCCGGTCCATTAAAACGGGTTCCGTCTTCAACGATATTCAAGAATATTTAGCGATATTTTTTTAGTGATAAGGCCACGCAACAGTCTTCGTTATTGCACTAATGGGCAGGTCCGTCCGGGTAAATACCACGACCTTGCGACCAGCGTGAAGTGGAACTGTTATACTTCTGGTTTCGTTTCGTCTGGTGAGTGAGGACTTTATTAAAAGGTGCCAACGCATCTGCAACCCTACGAGTATTGCGATTGTCAATAGGCGGCCGTTACAACTTACCATCAGATGAACCACCGGCGCACTTGCCACCTTCTCTGATAAAAATATACTCCTAAAAGTCTGTAATACATAATGCAAAAATTGAATACAACACATGCAATGCTCTTACGCCTGTCTCAGGAGGCTTAAACGTAAATGCGGCATGCAATGTAATGTAAAATTACAGTTACAAGTTTATTTTTTATTGTCGAAAGAAAAAGAATAATTATAAACGAAGAAACCGCATCAAGATCCGTTGCGTAGTTTTAACGATCTAATCATATATAGGGACAGAAGACAGCGGGGCGACTTTGTTCCACACTATGCAGTGACTAAGCACTTCATCGATTTAATTTAAAACACGACAAAATTGTACAAGCGCCGTGACAATTGTTTAAACGTAATCTGTCCGTCCAGGGTCCGGTATGACGCCCTCGCCGGCACGCATGGCGAAGATGCTGAACGAACAGGTGAACGTAGACAACTTCATGGCGGTGACGTGCCTGAGCGCGTCGCCCCTCATCGCGACGTACGACGAGCACGTGCTGGTGAACAACTTCAAGTTCGGCGTGCTGTACCAGAAGTACGGCCAGACCACGGAGGAGGAACTGTTTGGGAACAACGAGACGTCGCCGGTATTCGACGAGTTCCTCGACATGCTGGGTCAAAGGATCAAGTTGAAGGATCACAAAGGTGCGGTGAATGATTCCGAGCCGTGATAGCTCGGTGTAAGGGCTCGCCTTTAATTCAATGTTCGAAGCGACTTGAGTTCGAATCCCGGTGCCAGCACCGATGAAATTATTAATTTTAAGTGCTTTCGTGTCACTTGCTTGGCAGTGAAAAAAAATCGTGAGATAATCTGCATATTTGCGAAAAAATAACGGAAAAAAATTTGATGGTATTTGATGTCCGCCAATCCGCTGTGAGCTTAGAGAACTATGCCCTCATACTCTCTGTACAGATGAAGCCCTTGCCCAACCGTGCTTTACTGTCTGTTAGTTTTACTTTAAATAAGTCTAGCATTTCATCACATTTTCAACCGTTATAGTGAATTAAAGCATACATGTCAACTGCTCTGGTCTAGTAATATTTTTTGTAAGAATTGAAAACATTATTCGATTTCCAGGATTAAGCTACCTCACATTGGATTTGCGTTTTTTTCGTCGTAAACGGTTGTCCAGTTCCCGAGTCGGAAATGCAACTTCTGTTCGATTTGCAGGCTACCGCGGCGGCCTGGACATAATGAACGGGCACACCGGCAGCGAGGCGGTGTACGAGCGATACATGGACCGCGAGATAATGTTCCACGTGGCGCCGCTCTTGCCGCACACCGCCGGCGACGCGCAGCAGCTCCAGCGCAAGCGGCACGTCGGCAACGACATCGTCGCGATCGTATTCCAGGTAGCTTCTCGTACTCTACCAGCCTTATAGGTTACAATCGCGCGTCTTTGACGGTAACCTTACTCTTTGTCAGCTGTAACGATTGTATCTCTTAGGTTTTCCATTTGGAATGGTGATGGTCAGAAGAGAGGCTCACGCCCGGTTTTTGACTGAACACTGAATGATATTTTTAATGATCAGAATGATCAATTCAAAGAGTTTAACCATCCTTTTGGCAACTTAAATGACATTTGAAAATCCATTTGACAGCTGATTAGTTAATTTTTACGATGATCAGTGTTTTAGAAACCGGGCGACAGTACATGGGGTAACTATTAACTTATGGAAGAAAGTTATTAAATACCTTTTTCTTCTTAGCTACTTTTCCGATTTCCGGGTACGGCTAAGTATGACAATTTTGGAGTTATACAGCGAGTGTTTTCCTGCTTTTACAGGAAAAGGCGACACCTTTCACGCCCGACATGATTGCATCCCATTTCCTTCACGCTTTCATCGTTGTCACGCCCCTAGAGACTGTCGGCGGGGAGACCAGGTAATGATCTTTTTTATTTGGCATAATTATATCACCCCACTATGAAATAATATTATGTTTTCTATTTACTACAAGTTTAAATAGGCTGTCGTTTATTTATAAAGCTTTATTTGTCTCAAAAATTTTACTGACTTTTATACTACTGTAGATTAATTATAAACTAGAACCAAATATCTAGGTTATAATATGCTTTCATGCTTAAATTAACCTTCCATGTGGTAAAAACACACACAGGTACATAGTTTAATACTTTATGTAGTAATGATGCAGTCACGTTTTTGTGCAAAGATTGATTATCATAAAGCAAGTGCCGCCTTCGCACAACCTTTTAATATTCGACTTCGAATAGCTTTATGGACTTTCTTTCACACTGATGTACCATATTTGCTTTTATCGTTAATTTTCTCACCTGGAAATGTTTCTTTATGCAAGATAAAATCCGTGAGGCAGGACTAATCAAAATAAATTGGTTTCTTAATCCTCTACGATGTACTTCGTTGGGTTTAATACTAAAATTGATGTTATCGCCGCACATTTAAATAGTTTATTAAAAAGGGAGTTTACTTAAACGTTGTCTTTAGAATTACTTAAGCCACCGTTATGTATTACTTAAGTCATAGTTAAAATAAAATGTTTTCTAGGCTAAAGTGAAACTTACAATCGGATAGGATAGATGCAATACTACTGATACTACTTGCAAGAATACAATAGAATGTACCATTCAGAATGTAATAACACTTGTAATAAAAACACTTCAAAAATCAGATCATGTCTTTTTTGAAGTTATACTTAATAATAATATTCGTTTATTGCCAAGAAATAAAAAAATTACAACATACTTAATTGTTAAACAAATCCAAAATATTAAAGAAAAAAAAAACAAATTATTAAGAGTATTGTTTAAAGAATAAAAATTTTACAAAAATATTAAATGCTTAGAGAAAAAAAAAAGAAACGGCGTTTGCTATAACAGCGGGCATGAGGTTGACTGTGTCTTTTGGCGCGTTAGGAAAAAATGGTGAGAGTTAATTTTAACGATGCGCCCATAACGAACATCAAAATAGTGACATGAAATTAATTAACATCATGAAGATAATTGGCGATATGAAGTTAGTCAAATGTCTGTAATGTTCAAACCAGTTATGACGGGTGGTGTTAACTTTATGTTTATTTTTATTTTGTTACGCCAAAGAAGTAAAGTTATGTGCGTTCATAACTACACATATACTTTTAGGCATATTATAGCAATGGCTAAAACTACTGTATACCGTACTCACTGATAATGCAATTCTCATTAAAAACAAACTTTCACCTTTAAAATTATTGCATCTTTACATGCATTGCTTCCACTTTAATACGCTTGTCAACTTGTTTTGCATAAAGTTAGTCCAACTTCACAACGGTGTGCGAAGGCGTTATTTGCATGAAGTGCCGGAGAGAATTGCCCGGAAAAGAGAATGGAAATTCTGCCGGTAATTTATATGCAAACGAATAGCGACTTCATAATTAGGGAGCTTTTTACCAACGACGCTGGAATACGGTACGGGGATATTCAATCCGAAAATTCGCTTTGAGGTCGTATTTGCTTTGGATTGAGGGAATTAAATATGGAAAGACCCCGACCTACTTTTCAGGTTAAACGATATCAATAGTCCATTTTCCCTAAATAATATCTTAAATATTCCAATGTAATTAATGCAATTTAAAATAATTAAATGTTTTGGTTACGAATTCTTTCGTACTTAATTTGTAGGTGGTAGGGCCACGCAGCAGCCTCGGCTGTTGCACGAATGGGCAGGCCCGTCCGGGTAAGTACCACGACCTCATAGAAGACCGGCGTAAAGTGGAAGTATGACAAATACTTTCGCGTTTCGTCTGGTGAGTGAGGTAGCGGAGCCCAATTTTCAAAAGGTTGTCAACGCATCTGTAACCCTCGAGTGTAGCAGATGTCCATGGGCGGCGGTATTCACTTAACATCAGGTGAACCGTCTGCTCGTTTGACAAATTTTCGCATAAAAAAAAAAAAAAAAAAAAACAAGGTTGTGATAAAATAATTAATGTGGTTTTGTATTTCTATCATATAATTCGCAGGTTAATTTCTATAATAAAAGCGACAATTGTCAAAGGAATTAAGGAAAAATAAACGGAAGAAGTAAACGGTATGATGTTAAAAAATTATGGATTAAAATTTGCCCAACGCCAATGGTTAGCAATCGTAAAGTATGTCGCAGTATAATGTTGTCAATGTTTGTGTATATCAAATCATTCGGATGTCTGGAAATTGATGAAAATGTATGTGCTATGTGAATTATGCCCTAATACTCTCTTCAGAGGAGGCTGTTACTTTACTTTTTAACCGACTTCAAAAGGAGGAGGTTTTCAATTCGACTGTATTTTTTTTATATTTGTTACCATAGACTTTTGACTGAAGTAACCGATTTTGATGATTCTGGTGCTTCCCACGTAGTCCCATATTAATTCCATTGGTAATTGGATCTTGGGCTCCGGAGATACTTAGGGAACTCCTCAAAATCAATTATAAAATGAATACAGAGCGAGATGTTTGAAGTCGGTTTTGTTTTTCTTTAGAGAAAAAAATGGTTATGTTCCATCACAACCCTCCGCAGGTACAAAGTGGCCGTCACCGCGCGTGAGGACGTACCATTCTTCGGGCCGACTCTCCCCCAGCCGTCCGCCTTCCGCAAAGGGCGCGAGCTGAAGGAGTTCCTGCTCACCAAGCTGATAAACGCCGAGAACGCGTGCTACAAGGCGGCCAAGTTCGCGCAGCTGGAGCTGAGGACGCGCGCCTCGCTGCTCCAGAACCTGGCGGAGGAGCTGAAGAGCAAGACCCAGGAGTTCCTCGGAACCGGCGCCAGGGCCGAGCCCATCGCGGTGTCACCGCAGCCGGAGGGCACGCCCAAGCAGGACGGGCCGGGCGCGAGGTTCATCGACACCGTTAAGAAAGCCCTCATATATAAAGTCAGGTGAGTGCTCAGAGCTCTTTTTGTAGAGTAAACATTTCAGTTGTTTCAGTTTTGAGAGTTCCTACTCATTAATCTGCCTTATGACGATACACAAATGTATATATCGTTATATATGCTCCGACTTCTTGCCGCCACCTCTAAGGAAGATTTATGATAAAATGATAAATTCACTACGATAACAAATTGTTATAATTATGCTAAAAATGCATACTTTAACTTCATTTTGAGTTCAAGCACAAAAATAAAAATTAACTCAAGTTAAATCATAATTTTCGGATTTTTAATAATTATTTACGGTTTAGTCAAAGGACAGCTTGTCCCGTCCCCAACCGTGGTATGAACATAGAATGTGAATGTATCACGGTAAAAACATTGAACTAACCATTGCATCATATTATTACAGATCTCCAAGCGACCCGTCTGGTGACAGCATTAAGAACTCATTGAACAAGAAAATGAATATTCACGACACGCCTACACCAAATGTAAGCAAAAACTAAAAAATCTGTGACAAATTTTAATTTATGTCAAATTCGTAACATCATTATTTTCTTACATTATATTCTTTGTGGCCGTATTTTAATTTGATAAGTATATTCCTTTAGAATACTTACATGCCTACGTTTTAGTGAGTAAGAAGTAAAAAGTGAATATTTTCATGACTGCTTTTGTATACGTTTAAATTTACATTTTATTTAGGAAATCCCGTGATTTTACATCGATCGCAACTATTCCGATCGTCTGACATAACCAACTCCTCCCTCACTGTAATTTATTACTACGCACTGAGTAGTATGTAACTATCCCACATAATGGCATATATGGTCATACATCCGTTTGAGGTAAAGGGTAAATATATTTATTCACTATTTACTCAGCAAAATATAATTATTAATTATTTGTTCACATTAAATATCTCACCATTATTAACACCGCTTTAGCGTAGGTGGTAGGTCCAGTCAACAGCTCCGGCTGTTGTACGAATGGGTACAATGACCTCACGGAAGACCGGCGTTAAGTGGATGTGTTATACTTCTGCGTTTCGTCCCGTGAGTGTGGTAGCCGAGGCCCACTTTATTAAAGGGCAACGCATCTGCATCCCTACGGGTGTTGCAATCCATGGGCGGCGGTTATTACTAAACATCAGGTGAACCGCCGGCTCGTTTTCCACTTTTTCACATTAAAGAAAAAACTCCATTCGTTTCCCGTTTGCATTCAATTCACCCACGGCGACCGTCACTCAGGACACTGAGCCGATAGCAATTGACCGCCAATGGCCGGGCTGCCCCCAGAGCGGGCGCTCGAAGGCGTCGGTCGCTTCGTCCTCCGCGTCGGCGGTGTCGGTGCGCTCGGCGGGCGGCTCGGGCGGCTCCAGCCCGGACGTGACGTCACGCGCCGCCCCCCCGCGCGCCCTCCACGACCACAGCGACGACTCCAGCCTCAACTCCGTCGACCTCGACCCGCTCGGTGAGCCGCCCGACCGCTCAGCTCGCTCACCAACTCACTGAACTTAATCCTCTCACCCATTCACTCACTCAATCACTCACCACACCTACTCACTCACCAACTCACTGAACTTCTTTCACTCATTCACTCACTCATTCATTCACTCACTCACATACTACACCGTACACGATGCAGACACCAATGTTTCAGTCAGTAAAAGCTAGAATTTTTACGTTTAAAAGCGTTTTGGGAATTGCCAATATGCGAAACGAAAACGAAAATCTAATCGCGGTCAATGTAGTTGGTGCACTCGCACACCCATTTAAAGAGATAGATACACTAACGCCCGGTTTCTGAAACACTGATCATCGTAGAAATTAACTAATCAGCTGTCAAATGACTTTCCAAATTACATTTGAGATCATTAAAAGGGTGTTTAATTTCTCTGAATTGATCAGAATGATCTACTTAATGATCAGAATAATTAATTCAAATAGTTTTACCTTTGGCAAATCAAATGACATTTGAAAAGCCATTTGATGGCTGATTAGTTAATTTCTACGATGATCAGTGTTTCAGAAACCGGGCCTTAATGTCGGTTATTTGGTCTACTGTACCCGGTATGATTTTATTTTTAGTGTCTCTGTACTCAAGAAACAAAACACACTGAAACAATACTAAAGTTTTGGAGAAGAATTGTAATTGCATAACGCGCCCAGACGATTTGCCAACTAAGCTAAGCGGCCGATGAACCGATGCCGCGAATATCTCGATACTTACCCGTTAATTACATGCATGCATTACATATTTTATAGATTGGTTATGAATACACATCTACATAATAGTAAGCACTCATAAAATTAGACGCGATTATATTCCACCGAGGTTTTATTCTAAATCAAGTGACATATTATTTTGTAGAAATAATAACTTGTAAATTGTAATTGAATATTGTTGTGTCCTCCAGCATATTTTTAAATATTACATGTAGTTGATATTGAAATTAATAAAAATATATTTTTTTCTTCTTTCAATTAGACGACAAGGACTGGCTGAGTTGTGGCAAAGGCGCAATAGGTTAGTCCTTATAGATGTAATGTTAAATATCATTTAGTCCTTCTCATTTACCATATGTAAATACTCAGTGGGTTTTCATTTCTGGAACATCACTAAAAACTGCAAAAATCATCAATATTCATCGAAGCTACCGCGCACTTCATTGCATTACTCTCGAGAATAACACCGAAAACGTTTATGACGAAAACCCTGGCATCTACGGCATCGCTAACATTAGTTGTTCCTTTTAAAGGGATGATACGTGTTAATATAGAGACGGGGTAAAAACATGAGCCGTTTCCAGGCACGCCGGTGTACGTGGACAGCGACACGGGACTGGAGTCTATGTCATCGGCGGAGGCGGGAGCGGCGCGCGGGGAGGCGGCCGCCGCGGCCAGGGGCGACGTCGAGATGCTCAGGCAGGAGGTGTGCCGCCTCAAGAACGACAAGCTGGACCTGCTGAAGCAGAACATTGTGAGTCGTCGGAGCCAAGCGTAGCGTTGTGTCACTTGTCGAAGCCGAGCGTAGAGTCGTGCTCCTCGTCGGACCCGAGCATAGAGTTGTGCACCTTGTCGGAGCCGAGCACAGAGTAGTGTTCTTAGCTCCTTGTCGGAGCTAAGCGTAGCGTTGTGTTTTTAATCGAAGCCAAGCGTAGCTTTGTCTCTTGTCGAAGCCGAGTGTAGAGTCGTGCTTCTCGTTGGAGGCGAGAATAGAGCCGTGCTCCTTGTCAGAGCCGAGCACAGAGTAGTGCTTCTCGTCGGAGCCGAGCATACTACTGTGCCCTTGTCGTAGCCGAGGATGCTCCTTGTCCAAACTTAGTTTAGAATTTAGCACCTTGCCGAAGCAGAGCTAGAGCTGTGCCCCATATCGAAGTCGGACAGAATCGTGCCCCTTATCGAAACTAAGCTTAGAATTGAGTCCCTTGACGGAGCCGGACATAGAGTTGTGCTCCTCGTCAAAACTGAGCGTTAGGATTGAGCCCCTTGTTGAAGCTGAAGAAGAATTTTATCACTTGTTAGTCCACAGTCAAATAAATTTTACGGCAATGATGAATTAAGCTATTTCTTGTATTCAACATTTCTAAACCTCAGTTCGTAATTATAATGACACTTTTTGTTTCCCAATCATTGCAGACTTGGCAGAACGAGATCAAATGTTTGCGGGAGAGAGAGATAAAGCTGCAGGCGGACCTGTCCGCTTTGTCCAAAGAAGTGAGGAAACTACGAGAGCATCAAGTCACTGGGACCGTCATCCCGAACCCATCATCTCACGATTCTACCGCTTAACAAAATCAATCTGCCGACATCTAAACGCTACTGTAGTGTTTTGTGATCACGTATTTGATTATCTACGTAAGATTTTTGGGCGCATTAAGCGATGTCTGCATAAGGCTCGTTTCAAACGTATAGTCGATGACGCTATTATAAATGTTAGCTGTTCCTTCAACATTTCTCTTGGGAACGTACGGCTTCGGGACTCTGAAATCGTAGTGCAATATTTATTCGCGTCTGCTTTATCGTATACGTAATTTTGCATTACGTAGTTTTCTTTTTCATACATAGTCACATTTATTTCTACCCGATAGTAAAAGTTACGTCAAGTTGGCCTAAACGCGAGCAATATCCATCTGAGTATCCGAAACATGCTCGAGGAAGTTCTTGACGTAACTTAGTAGATGCAATATTTGTATGTATTTAATATATTATATGTGTAAACATTGAATGAATAAAAAAAGTTTTTTGCGGCTTTTATAGCGTTGATTTTAAAACTGTTCTTGTTAAATAAACGAATAAATGTTTGTAACCGATCAAGTTGTATTGTCAGAATAGTTTTAACCAATGCATATTTATGTCACCAACTTATATTTACGTCTGTGTAACTTCTCGTTTCTGAATCGAAAAGCGATCGCTTGATTAATAGAAATTACTGTTGCTAAGTATTAGAGAGAATATAATTCGACTCTTCTATGTTGTTCAAATTGCAATATTATTGCAATTGCGTCGAAAAGTCTAGGATATTCGTTTTATTGATGTTGTGATAAACTGTACAATGGTACAGTTTTGTTCTAACCTTATGTTATAGGCAAATGATTCTATAATGACATTTTCAGTAAATTTTAACACGAAAGAAAAAATAATCTCTGCATTTGATTTCATTTGAGTAGCTGCTCATAACTGTATTTTACACACTAGTAGAAATATCATGAAAGATTATATTTCACTTCTACTCCAAACTTTTTGTCGACGTTAGCGTGGAAACCTTTAAATTTACCTTAAAAATTTTAACAAAAATCATTTTAGACATTTTCTTGGTACTAAATGAGAGTAACTATTGGCGTGACTATGATTAGTCGCTAAATTACAATTTGTTTTACATTAAATTTTTTAATGAAAGTTTAGGAAATTCTTCAATTATGTCTATATAATTCAAAGAAACAATACGAAAAAGGGAAGGTACCTATTAAATTTATCTTTGACTTAGAGAGCCTATAATTGATATATGGTGCGTTAGAGAAGAGTTTTATTAGGCGTTTATTAAATGTTAGAACTTCTATTTTAAAAACACTGTACTGTCCTAGTTACAGATGTATTCCCTTATATATTTGTAACAGTCATAAATTTTCAATTTCACACAAGAGCAAGCACAGATTCTGTTTCCTTATACTTAAGTTCGCCAGTTATTGTAAATATATTTTAACTGGAAATAGACTATTAATTAATCAGTATTTTTCTAATTTATATTTAATTTAAGCGTCGTTTCTCGAGTGTCTTTGAGTTTGACATGTTTTGTTGTTTGTAATTAATATTTTATACCAAAGTTAACATTCCCCACTACGATAGTGTAATTTTTTTATATGATTATTATTACCGTGAATAATAAATGAAGCAACAGTATTCTTGATTTTTTTTTAGTTGACAGAACATACTAATTTTATTTCTAAGTTTACATTTACTTTCGTTTTAAATGTAATCTTTTGGATGTTGGACTGTTGATTATGATTAAGTTAATAAAAGTAACTGTTGATTCGTCTTTTCTAGACCTAAACCAAATATTGCGAGCGCGGAGCGTTAGGAGAAATAGTTTATAATTATAAGAGATACTAAGAAAATATATAAATAGTTAATTACTAAATAAATATTGTTGTTTTATTACTCCTCCCATACCTGAAGTTAGATAGCAGTCAGCGACTATATGTATAGTAAGTACGTTTACCTTTACATATTACAACCAATGATGTTTAATAATATTTGTATATAATATCATTGTTTACAACTATCAAATAAGTCAGCTTTAAGTGTAATCGTTCATAAAAAGTAACTTTCAATTTATGATTAAATTTAATGCTATAAATTGAAAATGATTTTATGGAATTTATCGTTTAAATATTTTGGCATGGATTTAATTTAGCGTAACAAAGAAAAGTCGATGGTTGGGTAAATCTGTCATGACCATGGTGGCGGTAGAAACTCACGTAAAACTTTGTTACTTGATAATCGGTTATCATTGAGTCACCTGTAGTACTAGATATTTTTGTACATGAAAACATTTTCAATTTTTTTCAGTAATTACTACATTTCATTAGGAAATAAATACTTTTCATTTTATTTGTATACATTGTCTAAGAACAGCGAATTTAAAAAAGACAGTGAACTGCCATCCGAAAAAGGTTATCAAAGCTCTATGGTGAAAATTTTGAATTATGAATGTTTAAAACTTCCAAAAATTTTTTTAATATCTTAGTATAGCGCCACCTACTATAAAACAAAATTTATTTCATTACCTTTGTATCTATTTGTTAAAATTAAGCGACTGCATAGTTAGAGAAGCAACAAGACGCTAGATGGCACTTTTATACCTCGTCGTTAATTATTGTTTTTTTTTTACCGTAACCATTTACACATATACCAAAAGGAACTACTACAACAGAAATTTTTATGCTTAAAATTATTCAAAATAATTCCCGCAATATTGAATACAAGCCTACCACCTGCGCGGCAGTCGTCTACAGCAGCACGAAATTGAACATGGTATGAGAAAAGGTTTCTCAAGAGGAACGAAGAATCTGTGGTAGGGCCGCGCAAAAGTTCGTTGCTGCACAGATGGGCAGGTCCGTCCTCTGAAGTACCACGACCGCATAGAAAAGCGGCGTGAAGTGGAAGTGTTATACTTCTGCATTTTGTCTGATGAGTGAGGTATGACGCACTTTACTATAAGACTGCAACGCGTCTGCATCCCGTCCGGTGTTGTAATCTCCGTGGGCCACGGCGCCTGCTCGTTCGTCGTTTTCACACAAAAACGCAGAAAATAAATGGATAATCTTTATATCTACATGTTATGTTACACTTTATAACTTATCTTCAGTGTATAGACTACAAGCTTTTTCATATAAAACCATTCCCAGTTACAACTTGATGTCGCATAGGCATATCCAGCAGAATAAATAATCAAATCAGGATCAGTCACATTTGATACCTTCCTCTACATAATTTTTGGGTAGATTATTTGAAAAAAACGTGTCGAGATATTTTTTTAAAGATACGTGAAGGTACAGAAAAAGACGAAAGAAAGTTAAAACCTAGGTCTTAATCCATAAAATAAAAGGAGCTTTCCTGACAAAACACTATTGTTTCCTTAAAGTTGTCTTTTAATTAGTAGAAGAAACATGCAATATTTGTAGACTGTTACACAGTCTAAACACGTTTTTCACTCTGTGTTATTTTAGCTAGCACCCAGTGCGTCATTTCGTTCCAGTATTGTGAATACTTCGAGGAATTTCTTGCAGAGTATGTCCAGAATAGTTTGAAGAAGCAATTGAATTTGAAGATCTTAGAGTACTACAGGAGATTGAAGATCTATGCGGGGTAGCTGATACTGCTAATCCAATCGGATTAAATGTTCTTGGAATTTTTTGTGATCTCAGGGCAGTTGGTAATGGCAACTAGAAATTGTAAATCTACTGCTATCTTTTTTTACTTTTAAGTGATGGGGAAGGGAATGAATCAAGCTGGCACGAAATATCATTACCTTTTTTGTATTATTGGCGATTATTTATTTTCTGGTTTCATGACGTCAGCTTTTTGTATTTACGTGCATACATGCCATCTCCGTGGTATGTACAGATCATTAGTACGTCAATATTCTCACGTTACTTCAGTACATTCATTTTGGTGCTATCTTCTGAAGTCATAAATTAATAAATAAATAACAATTCTGCAACATTTAAATAAAATAAAGTTTTTGAGTCATCTGTCAGTGGTATAATTAAATAAGGTGAATTTATTTTGATCCATAAGAAAGAACAAATAAAAGCTATATTTAGATATTTTAAGAAAAGAGTTCAATAATCTAATGTGCTATACATATTTTTTTAAACTTATTTACTCTGTCAGATATTTATAATTATAATGACTGCACGTATAACTATTTCAACAAAAAATTCTACAATTAAAATGAAAAGAATCAAAAACATTAAAATTCGATTAATAAAAATTTTGTTTTTATTAATCGGTTTAAGTAAAGCCATCTTAAAAATTTTGGGAACCCCTTATTTGCCGTCCAAGGCCCAGACCTCGTCGGCTATGCCTAAATTTGTCACTGCTTCGAAGTTTGAATTTATCACAGCTCCAAGGGATTGCAAACCTGAATAGTTCATAACAATTTCTTGACAGAGGGATAAACTACGAAGTGATCTTATTACATTTTTTTAGGTACTAAACCCTAAAGTTGGGAATGTCCCGTTTGATATTTTTATTTTCCGGATATTGAAAAAGAAATCGTATGTATTATCAGCTAGAATCAATCGTATTATTTAATTTTTATTTTGTCAAAATGTCCTCTAAAACATTTTCACTTAAGAACCCTGTTAGACAATTCCAATAAAGAACCAAATTATATTCGAAAGTTACAGTACATGTAGGTACGAATAGAATTCTCGTACAAATGTAAATCAATTGTTTTGTTATTTAAATAGTACTTAGTTGTAACTTATGTAAGCCATGAATTCGCATTTTCTCACCCATAAATTGCAAGGTTTAGTCGTTATCTAAAAGGAAGATTTAAAACGATAACCCTTTCTAAGTCTATATGATTTTCCAAGTTTTCTTTTTTATTTCGTTAATCTCGAATAAATTATGTACAACACGAATTTTTGATTTACAGTATTGTAAGTACAATTTTCACAATCGCTGAGATGTTTCACTGGATGTGAGATTAATATTCTTCTGTATTAAGTTTCTTATCAATTCCTAACTAATAATAACTTAAAGGGGGCCTAATAGAGTTT